ACAGGATGCAGCTGAGGTTGTGACATCACATCAGCACCTTGAAAACTGTCCATTGTAGATACCCCTTAATTATTTTCATCATTACATAAGAATAAAAGAGAGAGAGAGAGCAAACCACAAAGAGGTGGAATCAGTCTGTTAGGATTCCCCGAGTTCTTGTCAGAAGTAGCATCTGAGTATGGATGGATGAGGACCTGAACCCAGCTTGGGCACCTGGGGCTGGAAGAAACCAGCCTGTGAAACCAGGTGCCACATGCACCAGGCTTGCAACCCTCATCAGCTCCAGGTCAGACTTTTAAAACCTGAAGGGAACCATGGAGCAACTAGCAAATGCTCTGATTTTGCAGATGAGAAAGCTGAGGCCCAGAAAAGTGAGGAGTCTTGCACATGGTCACAGTTTCTGGCAAACTTTATGGAACAGCCTTTGATGCTCTGTAGCCAGCTGTTCAGGCCACTGGCCAATGGGGCGGATGCTCTGTTGCCCCAGGAATTCCCAGGGCTCATTTCTGTCAGACAAGCTCTCTGGAATCCAGTCCCAGGGACCCTTCCTGGCATTGGCATGAACTTGGGAAGCCCAAGGCCCTTGTCCTTACTGGCCAACTTTCCAACCAAAGCGCTGGAAGTTGCCAAAGCATTCATGCTTTCCAACGAGGACTCACCCCCAGCCAGTCTAGGCCCCTGAGAGGATGCAAGTTTCTCTCTCCCGTGTGGTTTCCCTCACAGGCACAGCCATGCTGGGCCCACAAAAGCCCGAGCTCAGGGTTGGGGGAAGGGGGAGTTGCTTTGCTACATGGAAAGATTAAGCCCTTTGTCAGAGAACAAGGTCCCATCATCAGGCAGGCCAACAAAGTTAGTGCCTAAGGAGGCCAAGTTGCTCTCTTTGGCATCACTGACATTGCTCTGAGATGCTCAGGCACTCTTTCAAAATAACCCTTTCCCAGACAGACCGGGATAATCCAGCCCCCATTAGGCCTCACCTGATCAGGTGGGGCTCCCCTGCCCTTCATTCACGATCTTTTTGTTTTGCCCCAATCTCTTCTGACCTGAGTGAAAGCAGACTTGAGGGAGAAGGCAGGGGACAACGTGTCCACATTCTCATCTCCTCCCTGATCCTCCAGTGAAAGATAATCCAGTATAGGAAGCAGCATTTTTAAGACCCTCTTTTACGTGTTGGGATGTTGGAGAAGAAAACGTTGAGGAGAGGAAGAGAAAGGTAGGGGTCTGCAGGACAGCGGGCCTCTTCTTTTCCATCTCCTTGCAGCCACTGGAGAAACACTGCTGGACAACCCCCCGGCCCTAAACGTCACACCATCTCTCTGAACTCAGGTGGAGGACACCTCATTACAATATCAAGCAAAGGCAGCAATTTCTTGCAGAATTTGCACAGTGCAGGAAGCAATCAGAGAAACAGAAGAGCAGCCTTACTGAAGCCCTGCTGCTTTCTGGGCCAAGGAAGATGGGGAATCGGAGGTATTAGGAGCTCTGGAGCCCCAGGGAAGGAGTGCAGGTCTCCTGGGCAGCAGGGCACGGAGCAAGAGCCTTGGTTGGGTGTCAGGGCTCCTGGTAACGCAGTCTAAGGTTGTGCTACATTTCATTTCCAAAGAAGTACCCTTGGAGGGTTCTATTGTCTTTAAAAGGGGTGGGGGAGGCTTATGCTCTCCTCAAGGCTGGCAGTAAAGAGCTCAGGTATGCTTGCCCTGGTGGGTGTCATGCCCTGGGGAGAACTGGCTTGACCTCGGTGTCTAACCGGCAGTGGTCCCAGGAGTGATGAGCTGCATGGGCGCCCACTCTCTGGAGCTTCTAGGTTCTGCCTCAGCCAATCCTGGCAATGCATAGCAAGAGCCTCCTAAGTGCTCCTTTCCTAAGAGAGCTGGGTGGTGGAAGAGACTGGATGGGGAGTAGTTTTGGAGATGGTTCTCCCCTGAAGGATCAATCCCCCATGTCAAACCAAGATTTGGCCCATTTAGTTGAGCCTGATTCATACCCAAGGCCCATCGTAGGCTTCCCTGTAGGTAAAGAGTCTATGAAAGAAGTGGAACAGATTGAACAGAGCCGAAATGTGAAGACAGATGCTCTGAATCATTCGCCACGGTTCCTGCCCACAGCCCAGCATCGCTGCAGGGCCATTTCTGTCTCTGTCACATCTTCCACGAATCCTGCCTGAGCAGAGGAAGATGAAATGACAGAGAGCCCCAGCCTGTAGTCACCTGGGTTTCACCTGGGGTAAGAACCCATATTGGAGTCAAGATACTGTACCGGGCACTGAGTGGTCTCAGGTGAGGGAGCATTCTTAGAGGATCATGTTCCTTCCTTCCCCACCATCCTCTCTTCAAAGGACAGATGCTACTCCCACCCCAGCCCCTGCCCAGGGAAGGCCAGGAGTCTCACTTGAACTCCCTCCTCTCCTGGGACAGGCTAGCTCCTGAGTAGCTTCTCAGACAAGCTCCTACATCCCGGAAGCTGAGAAACAAACCCTAAATCCAGCCAGTCACCATCACACGCAGCAGCCTCATGCAACTTCACCCGCATGGGGGAAAATCCAGGTAAGGGTTAGTCACTTATTTGGTGTAAAGGGTTAAAAAGAGTAATTCCCAAGGTCAACTTGGGGGCGGGAGATTACTTCCCATCAGAGAAGTGGAAGTGGGGAGTGGCCCAACTCCTGGGCAGTTTTGGCAGCTGAGGACTGCAGGCAGCTCAGCCCCTTACCAACACGTCAGGCCCCACCTCTGGCTGGAACTTGCCCTGTGCTAACCTACCTTCCGGCAGAGGCAAGGGGAACCGGCCTCCAGCTACCCAGCAGCAGCCGCTCTGCTGGCAGCTCCTACTTTCTCTTGTGACCTTTCTGGGCCCCTGGAGGAATGAGAGTGATCTCCTTCAGTGACACCCCCCATTCCCTGGGGGTGACTGCATGGTCTGAGGATCACCACTCAATGCTACATCAACAGATATCTACACTACCACAAATAATCCTACCACCCCAAGGTGCATTTCCACACCATCCTGAGGGTGACTTCTGTCAAGGTGAATACATCACAGACAGGACATAAAAATACCCTTCTTCAAGTGAGTTTCCTCCCTCTCCCCACCCACCCTAGGATCAAAGAGTACAGAGCCCTTTGCTTCATTTTAGAAGCATGAGAAAAGCATGCATTACTCAGTCCTGGCAATGGGAGAGTTTCTGCAGAAAGAGAAGACAAGACCCAGCTGCCTCCTCCCTCTCTTCCACGCACACGACAGTTCTGGTCTGTGATACAAGTTTGGAGGCTCCAGCAGGAGATGGGAGCCCAGGAGCTCACTGTGTTTGTCTCTTTACTGCCCATATTACCCACTCATTGTCTGTGGTCAGAACTGATGGGGTCTTGGCTTCTTCTCCATATTTCTTGGGCGAGAGGGTACTGGGCTCTGGCTTCAGCTTACTGTGGATCCCGCCAGAAAAGGAGGCCTTTTGGCAACAATAGCTGTATCTCCAGAGAGCCTCCACCTACACCCCTCCCTTGGAATCCACTTCCATGCCCATCCAGCTTTGGTTACAGATGGTGCCCAAGCGCTCAGGCCTGGAGACCTCTCCACCGCTCCCCTGGGTCGCTCCCCCACCTGGTGTATGTGGTTGGTTAGTCACTGCAGCATTGGGGGTGATGTCTGGGGAAGAGGCAGAGAGAGCTTGCCCCATACCTTGACCCCTCCAGCCATCTCTTTCTTCCCCACCAGACATGGACCCAAGGTCTGCTATACCTGTCTCCTGGGCAACCTCTCACCTTTCACCCTAGACTCGAGGAGGGAGAAGGACTAGTCTGGGTTTTCCTGAGCCAGACTTCAGGATTCCCAGCAGACATCTCACAAGATCCAGTCCGGATATTGGTCCCCACCCACGAGGCCCAGCTATCAAATCAAGTCAGAGTTAGAGTAGACTGGGGAAGCTCCAATCAGACAGGGGTGGGAAGCAGAGGCAGGTAGGTGCCTGAAGCAGGCCGCTCTCCAGGGGGCAGCAGTGGAGAGCAAAGGGACAGGGAGGCTGAGACAGGTGAGTATTGCTTGTACAGAGCTGGTGACTGTGGCAGTCTAGAGTCCAGAGCCAGGCTGTCCGTGGAGCCAAGAGGCTAGAGCCTACATGAGTCTGAACTCCCAGACAGGGACCCCGGTCTGAGAATGAGCAAAAAATAAGCCCCAAACGATCACCTTCATGCAGCTAATCCCCACAGGTCAGGATTCTCAACAGCGACTCAGAGCAAGTCAGCCCCCTCCCTCCTTATTTCAACAAATGGCCCTACCTTAAGGACCTCCTCACAGGCCAGGCCCCACCAGGATGAGCCCAGCAGGGGACAGGGCCACCCTCGGGGCCTGGGGAGAACATAGGTGCCTCCAGGGACTGTCTGCTGTGGCAGATTACATCCCCTCTGAGGCCAGCCTCCTGGATGTCAACACCCTACCGTCCGCACGTCCCGGGGTCCACTGGGAGAGCTCCTTTGGCATGTCAGAGGTGAGGAGGCTTGGAGGGACACAGGAGGTGAAGAACAGTGCTATGGAAGGTACTGGCAATTCCCTCTAAGGTATCTGGCCAGCAACCCTGGGAACTAAGACCTCCCCGTGTTTGGCCTGTAGGAAGGAGGTGGCTCCAGCCCAAGGGAGGAAGCAATCTCCAAGCCCTCAGCTTCCCAGGCATCTTTGCTCCCAGGGCCCTGGCCAAAGCACTAGACGAGCATGCTACATGCCGCAGATGCATTTAGTGGGAAAAGCTGCCAGAGTGCTTGGTAGGAGGAGGGGCGTCAGGGTTCCCAGAGGGGCCTCAGTGTGGCCAGCTGCAGTGGATGCTACATTCCTCAAAAAAAGCAGCAGTGCTGGAGAGGCAAAGGTGGAACAAAGAACAAGACAGAAAATTATGCAGGGACCACTAAGAGGCATAGGCAGGGACGCACGGGCCCCACCCTGCACACTGGACCAGGCAGGATGGACCAATGGCCATGTCCCCCTCTTCCATCCCTGGATTGAGGGGGAGTCGTAACCACACAAGACGCCTTTGGGTTTCTTTTCAACAAGACACAGAGACATAGATTCCAGCCCACGTAGTCACCAAGACTGACTATACCCGGACAGATGAACGGATATAACATGGTCACACACAGACACACAGACACACACACACACACAAACAAACACGTGCGCGCGCACGCACACACACACGCACACACACTACAGTCTCCACCGCCAGCTGGGACGGGCCCAGTAGCCAACAGGCATGCAGCAGGGTAAAGGGGCCAGAAAGACGTGACTATGTACAGGGGAGGAGGTGGTGGGCCAGCAGGCACCCCTTCCCGCACTGCATCCCGGCCTCTTCCTGAGGTCCTTAGGAGCACGAGGGGCTGGTGGCACTCTCCAGGGAGGACTGGGACAGGCGTCTGGTGAGGGATCCGAGCGTAGAGTCTGCCACGGAGGACGTGGGGAAGAGTTTGTACCAGCCGGTGACGGCGGCACTCAGGTCCAGCTCATCCAGCATGATCTGGGCCATGCCCATGAAGCACTTGTGGTCCATGCGGCCGTAGTCTCCCCAGACGATTACCTGCCAGTGGGGAAGAGGAGAGAAGCTGAGCCACCTCCCCGACTCCAGGCTGGGCAGTGGGCCCAGGAACCTACAAATTTTGCCAGGGCACAGATGGGACAGAGAAAGCCAAACCTGGATTGATTCCAGGCAATAACTTATCGAGCTCTTAAGAAGTGCCAGGCTCCATCCTTTGGGCCTTAAATACATCATCTCAATTGTTGCAACCATCTAGGCAGAGGTGCTGTGCATTATTATTCCCACAAAGAAGAAACTGCTGCTCAGAGAGGCTAATTAAGTAACCCCAAAATACACAGGACTTGGTGGCAGAGCCAGATTGGAACCTGGATCTGACTTCCAGAGCCTCTCAGTATCCAGATGATAGTCATCCCCAGGATGGAGCACAGTGAGAGTTCAGGATGTAGGTCACAGTTCCTGCTCTGCCACAAGCACCTTGCCCTCACTGGACCTCAGTGTTCACACCCATAAAAGTGGGTGAGGGGAATAGATAACTCAGTGATTTTCAAACTCTTGTTTTATCGAGGAACCCTTTTCTCAAAACAGAATCCCAATATATATAAAAACAGACACCCAAGACCACCCTTTCCCCCACAGATCCCAAGGTCCCTCAGTTCTTACTGTTTGCAACTCCAGGGGCCCCTGCTATGAAACCACCTCAGCCCAGAGAACAGCCCTAGACAAGAAGTCACACAGCCCAGACAATCCCCAGCTCAAGCCTCTCCTCTGCCACCTTCATGGCCTAAGGCAAAGTCAACGGCCTCCACCACCACCACTGTTACGGCTTAGTGAATAGCTGTCTGTGTGCCAAGCGCTGTGTGAGGCCCTCTACATGCGTCTCTCATTTAATCTTTACAACATACTACAGTTGGTAAGTGATCAAGCTGGAACTTGAACCCAGGACTGAACCCAGAGGCCGACCACCACTGTGCTCTGTCCCCATATAACCCCTTATGCACTTCAGGCACTTCATCCATGAAACGAGCATGACGAGCCCTCCCTTCCAGGACTGTAGTGAAGTGTGTTGTCACTCTCACGTAGTTGGGGTGAGAGTCACCCGAACCTGGGCTGAACTTGGCTCTCCAAGTTGCTAGCCAAAACCTCCAGCTAATCACTCCATCTTTACAAGACTGCGTCCTCATTTGTAAAATGGAGAGAATCATACCTGCTTCACAGGATCATCTCAAGGACAAAGTTAGGTCACATTTGGAAAGCACCTACCACAGAGCTTGGGGTGAAGCTAAAGCACAATAAACACCAGCACCAGCTGGAAGGGGGAGGTGCTGGTCAAACAGATCCTGCTTCTACCTTCCAGTGGTGCAACCTGGGGGCAATCGAGTTATCCTCCAAACCTTAGTTTCCTTATGAATCAACTGGAGGCAGTAATGCCTCCCTAGGTTGTGAAAATAAATAGGTGATGTGTACTAATGCATCTGGCATTAGCGCCTGGCCCAGAAGAAATCATAAATGAAACAAATTTTAAATTATGACTTGCAGTCTTTGCGAGTCACCCTGTCATACTCACCTGCAGCACCCTGCCCTGGGGCCCCTCATCAAAAAGCAGAGCCTGCTGGTATAGGGGGTCACAGGTCTTCTTGGCCACCTTTGTTTTCTTCTTGGCCAAGCAGGCCCCGTTCTCAAGCAGGTAAACCTTGATATAGGTAGCTGAGGGATAGGAGAAAGCACAATGGGAAGGGATTCAGGAGGAACTGCTGTGGCCTGCCCCATTCCCAAACTCCAGGTCATCTTGGAGGTGGGCAGGGTGAGCAGGATGAGCTGCCCAGTGGACAGCAGGTGGAAGAGACTGACTCCAATACTGACTCCTCCACCTTCCCCTACCCCCACCCCTGTTCACTGGCCTTCTGGGCAAGCCAGGACTCCGGTGTTGAGAATACTGACTTAGGTGAATAGGGAGCTGAGGACTCGCTAGACCAAGAGCTCAGCTACATACCCCTCCCTGGAAAGACCCCCATGTCCAAAATCTCTCTTGCAGCTGCTCGGCCTCACCTGGGAGAGATTTGGAGCCAGGTTTGGGGGTCAGACCCCGAGCCTCGATCACTTCCACCTCAAGCTGGCCGCTCCGGTCCATGATGGCAATGTGCACGTCCCCTGTGAGGGAGAAGAGGGACAGTCCAGCCAGAGCCAGACCAGGGGCAGGCCAGCAAGCTGCTGTGCAGAATGCCAGTCTGCAGAGGACACCACAGCATTGGAAAGGGCACAAGATGGAGAAAATGGCATGTATAAGAACTGTCCCCATGAGACCACTTTAAGGTGGCTGGGAAATGCTTTGCTAGGTCCCTTGGAGCGGGGTGGGGGCATGACCCTCAAGGGACATGCTTGGGGAACAACAAATGGCTGCCAAACTCCTATCTAAGTCTGGTTAACTGAAGGGCTTCTGCTGTGCTGAGCAAAATAGGCACATTTGGGGACACAGCTTCATGTCAGGAAGATGGAGGGAAGGCTGTGGGCTCAGTGGCTCTCATTTATCTTCTACACAGCTGCCCTCGGCCACTCCTCTAAACAAATGTCAAACAAATATTTTAAAAAATATCAGTTTAAAGAGATGCTGAGATATAAGCCCGCCCAGGACACGAGGCCCTCCCTGGGAATGAGGGTCTGCTTGTACCCGTGCCAAAAGATGGAAGGAAGCCTGGCAGATTTCCAGGGAGCAGAGAACTGAGAACCCCTCACTGTGCTCTCACAAAACGGATAATCTGCTGGAACAAGTTCTATGTGTGGAGTCTTGTTAGTTATCTGATTTCTGCAACTGTTAGCTTTGTTCAACCTGAGTTAGCAGAATTTGAAATTACATATTAGTCATTTGAAACAGCCTTCAAAGAAGTGCAGAATCATAAGCTTGGTGCAAAAAGATTAAAATAGGCTAGACTTTGGGTTCAGCTACCCATTTTAGATTCTCTGAGACATTATGCAATTGTTTGTATTTGCATACTTGGGAAGATGGGGATTTATTATTTTTAGGAGACATTCTGGAATTCATCCCCCTCCTCCAGCTAATCCTGACCTCCCCATGGGGAAGAGAAGGTGGGTGACTCAGGAATTAATTTCCTCCTTGTCTCTCTGAAACATCTCTAAGATGGACAAATGCAAACCTGTCCTTCCCAGTTTTGGACACCAGAGGGCACCACATGCATAGTTCTAGGCTGTGATGGCGCATTTGCCTTGTAGAAGGGGCTGACTCCTCTCACCGCCTCTCAGCCTTTGGCTGGGCCTAGGGCTGAGAAAAGCAGACCTCTGAGGCCCTTAAGAGTCTGAAAGCAGGGGCTGGGAATTAGCCAAATCTAACCCAAGAGTTGGATAAGAGCTGACGCTCACCCTCCAAGGGTCCCCATGGACCCCTCTTCCAGCAGAGAGGCTCCTGTGTTAGCAAATTCAGGAAGACGGGGCAGTGCAGTGGGAGGAGTCCTGGCCTGGAATAAAATCCCAGCTCCACTGTATCGCTCACAGCAGGACACTGTCTGCACTCAGCTTGCTCATTTGCTGTGAGGTCAGTTGCTGATGTGTGGGTCAGACACTGTTCAAGTCAGACACATGGAGAGGAGGATGGAGATGAGGAGGCATCTCTGGGGTAGCTAGGTCTGGGAGGAGCTACTTGAAGCCAACACAGTCAATATCTAAGGGAGAGGAGGGAGCCAGAACTGCAGCTAAGAGGACCAAGTATTGACTTTAGGAAGTACTTCCTAGCTGTAGGGAATATAGATGAGAAAATTACTAAAAGGCTTCTAAGTGCCAGACACCGTTAGCAGTAAATAAGGCATAGTTCCTAAGGAGTAAATGAAATACTTCATGCAAGCACCGGGGTGGAGGGGTGGCGGGGAAAAACTCAATAAACTGTTGGATTGCAGAATTAAGGCAGGTTAAATCCCACTTTACAGATGAGGAAACAGCCTCAAGGAAGGGACTTGTGCAAAGCCACACAGAGAATTGATGCTAGAACAGACTCCATAAAAGCTAATGCCGTGAAAATTTTTGTTCACCATTTTGAGTCCAGCACTTAGCAATGCTGGGTACATAGTAGGTGTGTGAGTGTGTGGTGAAGCGAAGGAGGGAATGTGCTAGAAAATCCGTTGCAGGATAGCCTTCCTCTTTGAGGAGGGGCGTATTGACGAGTGCTATGCTCACTACTTCTCGTTGGCACCAAAGCCTGAGCCAGGGCTCACTTCTGCTGCTTGGGTCACACAGGGCCCTCATGGGGCTTACCCTTTCTGCTGCTTGGCTGCCATTACCCAACTCGCCCTGCCCTCAAGAGGACTCACCCATTGGTGGCGTTGCCAGTGTCTGTCGCCCCACAATCTGGGCTGGTCCCAGCCCATCCAGGAAATCGCTGAACTGGCTTTCAGCCCCTAGCCGGGTGGTGGGGAAGATGAACCTGGGAAAGGAGGCAGAGGGGCATGTGAGCGCATCTGGCTGGTGGGATATAGTGGCTCTGCCTCTTGGGCCCTGGGCACACTCCTCTGTGCCTCAGTTTCCCCTCTACATAGTGTGCATGTACTACTGTGGCTGGGGACAAACTGTCTGTTTGTCTCTGCACGTTAAAGAAAAATACTTGGATGCCACTTGAAAAAAGAGACTAATCAACGTAATGTAATGATGGTATTTAATCCTCAAGCTCCAGGATTCCTTAGGTGACCCTTAAAAGGCAGGGCTTGCTGGACACCTGTGCCCTCACCAGGGGATATGAATGCCAAGAACCAGAGACAGAGGCCAGGAATGTCAATGCCTGGAACAAGTTCCAAGAACTGAGGTTTAGTTTATCCTAAGTTTGAAATCAAGTCAATAGCATGAGGTGGTGCCCAAAACAGCTACTGAGACCAAAATAACACAATTATAGGGTTGAGATTAATGACGAGTGATGGTAGGTGGTCCACGGTTGTAGGGGGGCCTGGAAATAGTAACAAGAAAAACTGATGATTATTGAAAGTTGGCCAGATGCCAATAGCACACTAAAGGCTCTATGTGCACCATATAATTTAATCCTTACAACCACTCTGTGTGGCAGGAGCGATTATCCAATTTTACAGATGAGAAAACAGAGGTTTCAAGAGGTAAAGACTTGCCTGCAAAACAGAGATGATGCCCAATTAGGGTTATGGTGAGGGTTAGGGCGGATGGTGCATGAAAAGTTCCAGACAGAAAACAATAAATGGTAGTTATCGTTGGCATTATTATCATCAAAGGAGAAATGCCACTTGCTCATGTTCTCAAGCCTAGGTGTTCTGGGTGTGGCCAGTCGAAAAAAGACAGATGAGGGAGGGCTGACCCAGGTCTGTTCATGGGATACAGTGGACCGAACAAAGTTCTAAGATCTCTTGGAACAGCTCAGACTCCTGGTTGACAAAAGGCTGTCCCAGAATGAGTCCCCTGCTGGACAGCTTGGCCTTGCGTCCCCCTTGGCCAGTGACAGGAAGGGAGGGGAGATAGGCTGCAAATGCTATTGGAGAGGGCCTGGGTGTTTCTCTGCACTGCCCAGGAAGAGGCTCTGAGGCTCACCCACTGTTATTGGCCACAGTCAGCAATAGCCTAATATCATATTCTTAGGATAATGGTATCGGAGAAGATTAAATAAAGAAATGTAGACTCTGGAGGTCCCAGAATTTCAGGAGCTTGGTACAGAGAGTGTAGAGATTATGAACAAGGGTTATAAAGTCAAATGGCCTTAATTCAAATCCTGACTCCACCATCATTTAATAGTTGTGACCTTAGGTCAGGTACCTCACCTTTCTCCCGTGCCTCAGTTTCTCAGGTAGTACTGACATCCCTCAGGGGTGTTGTGTTAAATGAGACAGTTTTTGTTCTGCTAGTGACTGGTAGATCCCAGAGTAAGAAGCACTGATCTGAACTGCCCAGTGATGCTCTGCACATAGTTAAGACACAAGAAACGCTAGTGGCTGCTCGCATTCATGAACGTAGGCATGGTCACGAGATACGTGATCATAGAATCTTAAACAATAGAGCTACACAATCCTGAAATCATTGTATCTTAATGAAGCCAAATCATAAAATCTTAATCATGTGACCATAGTTTCATAATTCAGAAGAGATCTGAGGGAATATCTAAGCTAACGACTTTCAGATTTTTGGCTGTGACCCACACATGAATGTAAGAAATACACTTAATGTCATAGACCTATGTGCATCCATAGAGTCAAAATACTGAAACAAAAGTTCACGAGGTAATTCATCCTTACTCTATAGGATACATTTGAATTTCTATTTCTTTTTTTAATGCAGCTTTTGCTCCACTAAACTGCTTTTACTTCTTTCTTATGAGTCATCGCCCACAGTTTGAAAGACATGAGCTAGTCCGATCTCCTAAGCTCCAAGCAAGGCGACTTGTGAGGATTCCATTTATCTGAGCCATAAAAATGGTTTTAGATGAAAAGGATTTTAGAATCACATTTTCCTTTTGAACCCTCTCCTCTGGAGCGGGGTAGCAGGTAGGTGCTGGGAGGCGGGAGGCATAGAACAAACAGAAGGGATGAACTGTTCCTGGGCCACTGGGATATTCAGATGAGAAACAGCAACCTGGAGCAATAGCCAGACTGGGGCCCAGGCACAGGATGTCCAGGGGGAAGAGGATGGAGGGAGGCAGGGACACAGAGGAGCCCAGACATCTGGGCTGGAAATCCAGCTGGAGGTTTTCTTGCCCTGCGGCTGGCTCGGTGTAGCGGACCAAGGAGGAGGGCAGGGACCACGGTGGGGTGGGCTGAACGCACGTGCCGTCGGAGCTGTTGCTGTTGGTGCTCCCATCCGTGGACTCTCGGCTGCCCTGGCGCGTGACCCGGCTCCGCATCTCCACAGCGATTCCTGTCTCCGTGCTCCGCCGGATGTTGCTGCGCAGCTTCTTGGTCGCCCCTTCTGTGACGCCCCAAAGCACAGAGAGAGAACAAGGTCAGATCACTGATGAGCTGCCCAAAATCACCCTCTTGGGAAGGGGCATGATGGGTAGGACTGTGACTGGAGGCGGGGCCATTGCTGAGATGACCTCTAAAGCCAGTCTGCAGCCTGCCCCCTGGCCCTGCTCAGGGCAGTGGCACACACAAAGCAGGCTAGGAAGCTGGATGGGGGCAGAGTTGGGATGGTGGGGCTGGGGTGTGCTGAGAACCAGGTAGAGTCCTTGCCCTGCAGTGCTTGGCCCTCCCCCTCCCCCTTGCCAGGCTTCCCTGACAGCCACCTTCCCACTTAATTTCAGCCCTTAACCCAAAGGACTTGTTCTTGCCTCTCTCTTCTAGAAAGTTTGCCTTCAGTGGGATTCCAAGATTTGCTTCCCCTTGTGCATCTTATCACACTCAGAGCTCATAACCCACCTCTCTGATACCTTCATGGGCCCTATAAAAACCCCATGTGAAGCCTGGCCACTCTCAAACATGCATTCTCAAGGTGGGATTCCCCATTAGGGAAGCAGGACTGAGAGAGGGTCGGCTAGGTTGACCTGAACTGACTTTGGCTTTGAGAGAGAAGTCTGCAGAAGAACCCTAGAAGGTATGCAGGGAGCGCTCACTCCCTGTGTCACTGTGCCTCCTGTTCAGAGCACCCCTCTACCCCTACCCCAGCACCCCTCCTCAGCCTTGAAGGGAACATGGGTACTTTGCCTCTCCTAGTAGCACACCATCCTGCTTGAGTTTCCATGGCAACCTCCTCAGCATTGCAGTGTGGTCCCTCTAGACACCCTCTTCTCCTGGGGCAGGGGTTGGGGGAGCAGAAGATGTGTTGAGGGTTTACAGGACTTCCCCTGCAGAAGCTTGGCTGCCCGAAGAGCTTGATGGGAAGGGAAGTGATGCTCAGAGAGAGACTGTATCAAAGGAGCCATCTGCTGTCACTGATTAGCGACCCAGGCAAATTAAGAGTGACGTTGCCTACAGGGATGAGGAGAGCCTGGGGGTGGGGCAGGACGTGCAGCACCCCCTTCCCAAAGCAGTGGGGAGGGGGGAGCTTGTTACCCTGGCAGCCCCTTCTTCCACCTACATCTAATAGTGGGTTGGGAAGGGGATTTTGAAGATCCTGGCCTGAGAAAAGGGTGACTTTATTTCTCCTGCTTTGTCCTACTTATCTTTTAGAAGTCCCACTGAGGGAGGGAAGGCTGAGAAGGCTAGCATCACTGGTGGATGAGATGGGGGGCTGGAAGTGGGGGTGGTAGTGAGGAAGAATGTCTTCTCTGAAACCATCCCAGCTTCCAGGATATTGGAATAGCTAACTATCCAGTAATTAATGGGACCATCGATATGTCTGTCTGCCTGCCTGTCTGTCTTACATACACAGTCGCATTAGCTCATGCATACTTCTTTCATACCAATAGGCATAAGAAGACACACACCAGTGCTCATGATCACATTTATGAAGACAAGGATCTCATATACAAGGTCATGTGTATGTTCATACAACAGTCACAAATGGTCCTACCAGGTCTTAGTCATACATGCACATGACATACTCTGCCACGTAAATGTGACCTTCACACGCTAACACTTGGAGTTGAACCCATCCACTCTATCACACACACACATGCACGCACACACAATGTAAACCCACAAACAGTGTGTAACCCACCACACACAGGGCTGGCAATAATGGTGGGTGTCGGGGGACTTGTCCTGTCCCTGGCTCCTAACTGCCAATCTCCTCTAAGCCGGTTAGAAGACAGGTGGGTCTGTGGGAGCTGCACTTTACCCTCCCTTCCCTGGAATGCCCCCCACAACACACACCGAGTTGAAGACAGAGCCTCACCACCATGTGGCCCCAGTCTCTGCTATTCTAGAGCTTGAAAAAGCTTTGACCCATTTGGGAGAAAATTTACCTTCTTTGATCAGACCTGCCCAACCCACTGTGAGCCCTTCGGTAGAGGAGTCATAGAATCCTGAAGTGTTAGACACTTCAGCTAGCCCCCTGCCCCTGCCACTTCACAGATGGGGAACCTGAGGCCCAGGGTCCCATAGGGCTGAGGCTAGACCCCAGGCCCACTGACTCCCAGTCTACTGACATGCTACTTCTCACTCCCCTCCACCACCTCCACGTTGGTTTGAGATGTGATTCAGCAGAGATTAAATTCCATGTCTTCTGGATGGGGAGAAAACCTTAGAGAAAATTTCTTTACTGTTTCATATCTGTCCAGTCTCTAAATTCTGTTGGTCTGGGGGAGCAACTTTATGTAGCGTCTCTCTCTAGAGAACCAGGCCAAGTTGTTTGCAATAATTCTGTGGTCTCTGGAGACTCAAAGATTCCAGGAACCATCCCATTTGTCCCACCACATACAAGGGAGAGGCAGTTAACAGCTCCCAACAGCACTCCCCACGGCATCTTCTGGAATGACCCAGAGTCCAGAGCCCAGGAGGGTGGAGCCGCTGTCCTTGGTACTGAAAAGAGGAATTCCATTTGAGCAGGGGCTGGGACGGTCCAGGATGGCCCTGTACAGACTTGGCCTAGGGCTAGGCCAGAACTCACCTGAGTCCTGGGACCCCAATGCTCTGAACCCACCCTCCTCACTGCTCCCTCAACTTAGAGAATGTTAGATCTAAAAGGAAGCTGGGAGAGAGTCTTTTGAGCTCTATTTTACAGAGGAAACAGATCCAATGGGAAAGTGACTTTTCCCAAGGTACCACGAGGAGTTAGAACCAGGACTAGTCCTCTAAAGTTTCGGGGTAAATTTTTGAAAGCCACTCTAGGGCAGTGTGAGAAATAAACTAGAAGGGGCATCCAGGAGATCAGAGAACTAGAGCAAAGGCTGGTCCAGGTAGCTTTAAAACACAAAAGAGAGGATGGGCAGAGCTCGAGCCAATGCAGGGTATGGATAAACCAGGAGAAAGGAGGCCCCTGGGAAGGCAGACCCAGAGCCCAGAAGACTGGGTCCAGGAGACGAGTTCCTCCCCACTTCGCATAGCCCAGCCCTGCAGGCAACTGAGCCATCCCACCTGGGGGCAGCAGGGGACACTTTGCTAAGATCTTTTCCCAGAACGAAGTTGCCATGGCTGAAACCCACGGTGAGTCATCCCCATACATTCCTCTGGGGCCAGACTATGCTACTCAGGATGGGGCTCCAAGCCGGGACTGGCAACCTCAAGGCCTGGGGTGGGGGGAAACATGGGGACAAGGAATTATAGATGGGAGAGGAATATGCTCCAAGCAAGAGGCAGAGCTGTGAAGGTCAGAAAACTCACCTTTTCTGGCCCTACTATGTGACTGTGGGTAATAATAATAACCCCAACAGTGTCCCAAACATCTACTATGTACAAGGCTGACTGCCTTCGCATCTCCTATCTCGTTTAATCCCCTGGGCAACTCTGCAAGGCATGTGTTATTGTTCTCATTGTCAAACAAGGAGGCAAGCTCTGAGAGGTGAAGTAACTTGCCTGAGTCACCCAGCTAGTAAATGGCAAGGTGTGGCTCTGAAGGCCACCTTGAAGTCATTTTCCAGGGAAGTGCCTTCTGCTCTTCAGGCTCAGATGCCTCAGCAATAAAATGAGTCCATCAGACTAGATGATCTCAAGGGGCCCTTCCTGCACTGACATTTAGTGATTGGATGATTCATAGAGACCTTCGATTAGAAGGGGATCGAGGTAATTCCCCTGGCTCTGGCCCCAGGCCTTCAGCCGTGCCCTCGCATACCACTGAAACAAGTGATTCAGAGCCCCACCACTCAGCTCCCCTCAAGGCTGGAGGTCTCCCTGGTGCCCGCTCCAGTCCCTGCCTGCCGACTAGAGTCTAGGAAGGTGGACGGACCGAGGCAGATCACTGAAATATCTCCCAGTGACTCAGGCTCCTGATCTGGCTTTGAAAGACTGTCCATCCAGATCACTTTGAACACGGAGAACCCTTTGGGTCTGAAGCTGACTCAGTGGAGATCAGCCGGGCTTGGTCTTCTGAAGTCCAACACCTCCTTGATTTAATCTTAATCCTCCAACCTTAATCCCACCTCTTGGTCCTGTCCCAGCCCAACTCCTGGATCCCCAGGTCCCCATCTTCCTGACTCCCTACTGTCAGGTCTACACTGCATATTCACAGAGGCTATGCCCACCCTGGGGCACTGAGAACTGCAAGCCCCCTCCTCATTTAGCATTTCCGTGAGCCAGAAACCACATTGCAGCTTGAGTGCTAGAAAAGACCATCCCACATGCTACTGTGGAGGGCTTTGTAAAAATCTATTTTAAGGCCTGGAAAAGTCCCCCACCCCCAGCCCCAACTGGGAGTCTTGATGAGCGTTCTCCCCGGATCCTCCGGCACCCCCGCCCCCTCACCACCCCCATCCAGCTGCCTATTTGAAGGTTTCTTGGGGAAGTTGTTACTCTGAGAAAAATAAGCAGGAAAAGATTTTAATACACAACCAGCTGGTGTCTGGGCTGATGCCACAAAGTAAGGAGGTCTTGGTGGGGAGGGCTGGCTCCTCTGTGATGTGGGGTCCGGGTGTGACTCTATATGACCAGGTGGTCACTCACCAGTCTGAGGATATCAGGGATTCCATAACTAGGTGTCTGTGAAAGCATATTTATCAGGATATAGCTGGTAAGGTGTGTGAATGTGGTTTTTCATGAGGTATGTACATACGCGTGTGGGACGTTTCTGTGATCATGGGCCATGTGTAATGGAGCTTCTATGATCTGGGTCTGTCTGTATCAGAGGACTATGTTGGTGTGATCTGCATGACTAGCGTTGTTTGTGACCATGTACAGTCTGACTGGCTGTATTATCCTTCCCTGGCAGTAGGGCAGTGTCTTATCTGAGTAACAGAGCACGCTATCTATGTGACTATGCAAGGCATGTGTCTTAATGTGTGTATGTCTCTCTTGTGACTTTGTAATGTATGTGTGTGACTATGCATCTACATTTGTGTGGCTCTTTGTACTTAGGAAACAGAGATTACAGGTGAGACTGAGTCTTGTGGACGTGTGTGTCTGTGAAGTTGTATCACTTAGCACAGTGCCAGGAACACAATGACTGTTTAATAAATACTTGCTGATTAATACGTCAGTTTGTGCATGGAGGCAGCAGAGTATAATGGTTAGGAGTTCGGTAATGGTAATGAACTCAGAAGCCCAACTGCTGGGGTTTGAATCCAGGCTCTACCACCTACTTGCTATGTAGTTTGGGGCATCTTACTTCCCTTCTGTGTGCTTTAGTACATGCCTCATAGAATGACATGATGGTTCAATGGGTCAGGACGCATACTGGACTTAGAACGGTCCCTGGTATATGGTAAGTGCTACATAAGTGTTTGTGGGTGTGGCCATGTACACCCATAAGGACAGTTCCTGGATGCCCTGTCATTGCAAGGTGCCCCGCCCCGGCCCTTTGGTGTCCCATGCCCCCTTACCAGGCTGGGGGAGCTGGAGTGTGCTCTTGCTCCACTGGGTCAGGCCCACGATGGCCACCATCTTGGCCCCAAGGCTGCTGCGCCGCTTCTTGGCAGTGGTGACCCCTGTCCCACCCCCCGCCTGCTGGGATCCGCATATTTCGCCACTGATGCTGGAGCTCCGAACCACATTCCTGGAGCCTGCGGCTGAGGCTGGACCCGGCTCCCCGTTAAACATGGTCTGAGGAGCAGCGGGGCCTCAGGCAACTCTGTGGGGGAGACAAAGAGACAAAGGGATCCCACATCAGACCCCAGGCCACTCTACTGTAGTCACTACTTCCTAGCTGTGGGACCTTGCGCAACCTCTCTGAGGCTGTAAGAATTTAATGAACAAATAAATGTAAAGAGTGTGCACAGAGTCTGGCTCAATAAATTGGACGATTCTTATGGACACATGGCGGCCCTGGCAAGTGACCTAGTTTGGTGGTAAAGACCGAGGCTGTGGAATCGCACGGCCCACTCTTGAATTTCCAAAGGCCTCTGTATACTAGCTGTATGACCTTGTGACCAAGCATCTTGGAGTTTCAGTGAACACCTCAGCAAAACAAGAAATAAAAGCACTTACCTCATCGAATTGTTGTAGGGATTAAGTCAGTGTATGTGTGCCTAGAACAGTGTCAGGCATAGAGCAAATATTCAATAAGTGTTAGCAATTGTTATTTCATAGCCAACAAGAGCAGGGAGAACAAAACTGGCTGCAACCTGAGCAGGTGGGAGGGGTCCTCCGGTGTGAAGGGGATGGTACAGAAAAGGATGCAGCAGCAGCCACAAGTCACCCTTAACTGCACTACTGAGAGGCAGCCACAAGAGGCATTTAACCTATTTCCTCTCAGTCTCTTTTCTATGCATTTTTAAAAATAATTGAACTCGTACTGCAAATACAATTTTATATCCCGGGATTTTCCATTTAGCACTATATCACAAGCATTTCCCAATGTCATTAACAGTTTGTATAAATGTTTTAACGCCACCATAATATTCCACTGTATGGAGGTAGCATAATTGACTTAAACACTTCAATATAGTTACCTTTTAGATTAGGTTCGACTTTCTTCTTTCTATCTTTGCTTCACTCCCTTCTCTCCCTCCTGTCTTTTAAACAACACTGCAATAAACCTCTTTCTACACTGATTTTATCTGCTTTTTTCCTTAGGATTGATTCATAGAAATTGGGTGACTGGTTTAAAGGGCTGTGGACACTGCTCGTAGCTTCCATTCTCTCCTCCTGCTTCCTGAAAGAGTTGCTGATTTTATCTACCACCACCCCGTCCTGATTATCCTGATTAGTTTAAGCTGGTCAGCGAGTGACAATCACCTTGGGAATTCTTATTGGTCCAAAGGTGAGCATGTGACAATGTTGGCCCAATCCGATTTAGGGAAAAGATTCGGATTTCATGCTTACAAGAGAGGGGTCTCTCTCCCTCTGTCTCTCTCTTTCACTTCCTCCCTCAAGACTCCTCCCCCTAGAGAGGGCCCAGTCCTAGGATGAAGCCAGTGTTGCTGAGGACAGCAAAGCACCGATACGGAAAGGACCGCGGGCCACCCTGAAGCCTGCCTTTCTCTGGCCTTCCCATTATGTGAGGCAATGTGCTTCCCTTGGCTTAAGCCAGTTTGAATCAAGGTTCTCTCTTATATCCAAAAGCATCCTACCTGATATTGAGGGCATAAACATTTTTTTTTTTTTGATTCTTGGAATATACTACCAAATTCCTTTCCAAAGTATACAAATTGACTCTCTGCATTAACTGCATTCAACAAATATTTAAGCCCTTAAAATCCCAAGGCTTATGTTGAGTGCCAAAGATACAGTAGTGAGCCAGGCAGAGTTGGTCCTGCCCTCTTAAAGCCTTCACTGATTCCAAGAGGACAGACAGACAGTAAACAACTAATTATGTAATTAAATATTTAATGACGGTTCTGATGGGTACTAAGGAAGAGCACAGAAGGTACTGGGAGTCAGTCAAGGGGAGTCAGGCAACAGGCATCTATGGCTCTGTTTTGTAGAGAGGTGGGATCTCTGGCTATTGGTCCTACAATCTGGCTGAAAGTCTGATGCTCAGGCAGAGTTCTGGAGATACGGCTGCTCCAGCATGCTTTGTATCCAGCCCTTCCTGGCTCTGTCCTGGCCCACAACACTTTTCCCAGGGCAGCTCCCCATCCCAGGGCTCAGGGCACTTTCTTCGACTCTCTACCTTCAGGCCTGTCGCCCTGAGGAAATCCAACTTTTCAAAAAGACATAGAAAGGGGTGGGAAAATAGGAGTGGGAATGGGAAGGCACCCCTCCGGCTAACTAGGAAGATAGTTCCCAGACGGCTGAGAAGGGCCACCTGGTGTCCCAATCAGCGTGGTGTGGCTCCTGCAGGTGAATTAGAGCTGATAGTAGTGATGAGTCGATGCCATATTTTGCCTTCTTTGTGGTTGCCTGGACTGTTCTTGCTCACCCTGTGATGTGTGCAGAGCCCCAGATTGTATTTCTCCATCCATCCCCCATCAACCTTGCAACTAATGGAAAGTCCCCTGGACTTGGGCCTATGATGATCTCTTCTCTTTACTTTCCAATTCTAGTGCCAGTTTGGTCAAAAGACCATCTGCATGGTCTTTTGGTGGATCGTGGGAGGGTGCTTATCTGATACTTTGAATCTGCCACAATGTAAGTCTAACTTACTCGCGAAAGTATTTCTGTTAGGCGTATTGTTATCTTCATGTCACAGATGAGAAAACTGAGTCTCAGAGATGTCAAGGCCTTGCCCATCCTACTTGGCTAAAAAGTGGCAAGGCCTGGACTCGAACCAGGTCTCCTGTTTCCACAGAGAGACAGACACACTCTGCAGTTCCTGCCCCTTCAATCCAGAGCTCACTCAAAGATGTGGGCCCATCTCTCCTGCTCAGGTTTTGCCCTGGGTCTCTGGCCCAGGTTCTCACAGCTGGCATGAGCAGCTAAAGGGCAGCAGAGATCCCGCCCAGACCATGGCTGGAGAAGTAAGTGCTCCCCGCAAGCAGCCAGCCTATAGCAAGTTCAAGAACGCCACTCCCAGGGGACAAGAAAGAAAGAGGGTGAGGGACAAAATTCCTGACCCTGCCAACCCAGGGACTCATGTTTCCTCATGAATAATAAATAGAACTGACAAGCAGATGGTTTGACATCCAGGACTCTGCACCATCCAGAGCTACTTTCTCATCTTTAACCACCCAGAGGGCCTGGAGAGCTGATGAATGCCTGGAAGGACCCAGCCCAGCTGGCCATCCCCAAGGGCATAAGAGCAGCCAGGCCCAAAGCACTGGACCCAAGGTCTTGGGGCCTGACTCCTGGTATTGGAGTCCTAGGTAGGTAGTCTGGGAGAGTTAAGTATCAGGACACAGTGGGATTAAGATGCATACAGATTCCTTGTGGCACCTGTCTGGGCCTTGGTTTCTTTATCTGTATGTAAAAATGAATGGGTTGGATTAGGTGATCTCTGAAAGTCCTTTTGACTAGGAGAGCAGAATCTGTGAATACATACTGCACTGGCAGGCTCAGAACTGGGGTTCTAGTTGCCTCCCTGGTAGCCAGTCTAGCTCATGAAGGGAAAGATGGAGAGACAGACAGAGCCAGCTACCTGGCCCATGAGGAGGGAAGCCCTACTGCACAGCAACCCCTGAGCTGTCAGACCACAGGGATGGGAAAGGGGCAGCAGGCAGAGTGGTGAGGGGCCAGGAGAATACAGAACACAGCACCTAAAAGATTATTAAATGAATTACATACTTTCCTCAAAAGCCACTTCAACAATTTCTTGCCTCTGAGGACCGTCCCTTTCCCAGCCCAGTTCAAGGCACTCCAAGGAAGGGAACTCTGCCCAGACCTTGCTGGGTCATGGGGACCTCACTATCAAGTTCTCCCTGCTGACCCCACTTTACAGCTCAGCAGCATCTATGACTACAGCTCAGATTCACCCGCAAGGAGGAGGCCACTGCCCCCACTTCTATCAAAGCTCTATGCCAGCAGATACCTTCCAAGTTCCCCAAGGAACGAGCTTAGGGTTTTCTTTCCAGTCCTCAATGTTTGGCCTCTATCGTGGGGTCTCAGTACCCTAAGGGTTCCCCAAACCTTCTACAGAATCCTGACAACAGCAGGTCTTGGGGCTCTGTCAGGCCACCCTGGGCTCCTTTGACCAAGTGTCCAACCAAATAATGAGCTTTATGGGAGTCAATGAGACCATCCAAAAGCCAAAGATGAACCCAGCCACCTACCTTCTCAATAGGGAAGGCGAAGGAATCTATCACAGGATGATGGACTGTTAGGCTGGAAGGGGTGGCAAATAACTGAGGCTCTAACCACTTCTCCCCATCCTCCAACCACAGCAGATATCACTAATCTCTCTCTTGCCCATTGAGGCAGATTTAACCTCAGAATCCCTCCCAGCACTGTGTTCTAGCACCAACTGCTGAGAACCAGCTCAGGAGTTAAAACCAATTTGCCGCCCCTATTCCATCCTGAGCCTTTCATTTTGCAGAGTAGTAAATCAAGGTCCAGCATGGGAAGGAGACACACCCAGGGTGACCAAAAATGTTGGTGAAAAAACCAGAGCACCAACCCAAGTCTCCTAACTCTCAGGTTCCACATCTCCTCACATCTCGCCTTGAAGAAAACCCAAACTCACCGAGCTGATGAATATGAGAGCGGTGTTCCACATCACAGGGGCTGGGCCCCTCCTGACGACACTCCCTTAGGGCATTGACACGAGGCTTCAGTTAACTTCTGCTGAGACACTAGTTTTCAAGAAAGGAGGTGAGGCAATCAAGGTAGCTCCCAGGAGGAGGTGATGTAATAAGAGTCTGGAAGGAAAGAGGGGAGGTTATAAGAAGGGCTAAAGAAGACATTTGTCCTCAAAGGCTTCCGGTAGCTTATGGAATAAAAAGACAGACTTTCTAGATACCCGTGTAACCTTGAGCAAATCATTTCAGCTCTCTAATTTGCTGCTTCCTCCTTCACAAAATCCTCTAAACTCTGGGTCCCCTAATCTGAACTTCAACGTCAAGCTGCTGGTGCTGAAGCCCCACCCACAACTTTAGGACTTTTAACACAGGAGGGACTCATCCAGGTCCAAATGCTAAGGAGCTCTAGACCGTATTCTTCCTTCCTCTGTCCTCCTCCTGACTAATGGGGTCCGTGTCCCTCCCCAGACACTTGGTGACATGCACAGCAGTCAGGAGTGTGGAGGAGGGGCGCTCCTGGCTCCAAGCCCAGCCAGTCATTCAGTTTCTCTGAACCTCCATCGCTTTTCTATAAAATAAGTCTACTGGCCACCTGGACCCAGCCCGACTCTCCAGGCTAGACTGGGCATCAGGTAAGATAACAAGGACCAGGAAAGTAAAGCGACTAAAAGCACAAGCTTTGGAGGCAGAAGACTTAGTTCAAAACCTAGATCTGCCACTTACAAGCCGTATGAGACAGCGCAATTTCTTTAACAAACCAAGCCTACCGGTCCTCATCTCTAAAGTGGGAATAATAACAGCCTTAAGATTCTTAGATGAATATTATAAAATAAGGATTGGTACATGCTAAATGCTCAGTTGGGCAATTACATTACTACTACTCATAATGGTACCTTTGTAAACGTTAAAGGACTGTACAGGTGTTAGTGCTTACTGGCCTGGATTGCACACCAGGCGCAACCACTTGATAGGAAGGCTCAGAGATCAACAGGGTCAGCTCTCACTCCAGTCCGGTGTGCTTCTACCCAGAGCCCAGGATTAAGTGTGGGATCTGGGTCCCTGCACCTCTCAGTTGGAGTGGGAGCTGCCACGTAAGGCTATGCCCTTCCTTGCCAGCATCTCAGTTCCTGGCCCCTCACTGGATGCTGGGCCTGGAATTTAAGACCCTGCCCCGACCCCGATCCAGTACCAGGGCTGCCCACCACATCACGCATGCCACTCTGTGCCTGTGTCAGAGGCCAGTGCCTACACCCACAGAAGGAGAGAGGGGTTTCTTTTCCTCCTCAAGGACACATAGGTGGGTGACAGGGCTGGTATGTGGTGGGTGAGGTAGGCTGGGCTGAAGGAGTATAACCAGCCTGAGTGGGGAACACTGGGCCAGCTCCTTTCCTGGTCGTGTAACCTTTACCTCCCACAAAGCATGCTCACACACACATACTACACTCACAGGAAGAGACATAGGGCACAGAATTTCAAATGCGTGATCACATACCATACAGACTCACACTGATAATACACATAAAGACACAATCACATGCATACACAGATATGTCCACACACCTTCAAGATACTCATCCACACAAAGGCACATAGAAGCAGTCATGTGGACAGCCACAGGCCTTCACACACCCACGCATGCTCACACCCACGCCATTGCCTCAGCCTCTGCCTAGCCCAGAGAGGAAGGAAGAGCCTCATCCCTTCAGCGGGCAGGGAACTGGGAAGTAGCTTACCCAAATCTGTGAGTTCCCTTGGCCGAGGCACATACACGAGCTCTGAGCAGGCACTTGTGTGAGCTTGAACACACACATACTCATACACGCTCCAGCCCCCAATCTCATGCTCCTGGCCCCCATCTCAGCAGGCCGGACAAAAGAGCTCATCGGTGAGGTTTGTGGTGAGGAGATGAGAAGGCTGGCAGGGAGCAGCTGCTGTCACCATGGCTACCAGCTGACCCACTTCTCCTCCACCCAGCCTGGCCCACCCAGCCCAGGCAAGGGAGGACAGGCAGCATTGGGCAGGGGGGCCCTCTCCCATCACACACAGTAAAGGGGTGGCCCTCTGAGGGTGTGGTAAGGGACGAGTTAAGCATTAAACAGGCTGGGTCCTGCATAGGAAGGCAATATCCAGACCTCCCTTGAGGGGAACAAGGTGCCGAGGAGATGGCACCTGCAAGACCCAGCTCTTTGTCTCCCCCAGCATTGGGGCCTCTGGCCTCAGGGACCCACAATGGTTATGCCCTTGCCCTGGACACATTCTTATACAGTCCTCACAGCAAAATGGAGAGAGGGGTGGCCAAGCCCAAAGCTGAGACCCCCAGACTCCAAAAACTCAGGATACCCAAGGGTGAGGCAGACCCAGAGCTGGGTGAGCCCTGTGTCCTGTTCAGAACAAGATTCTTGAGGTCAGGGCTTGTCCTTCCCGCTTGGACTGGGGGCTGCTGGGGGCATGGCCATGCCTTCTATCTTTGGACAGGGCTGCTATGTGTCTTCTCTCAGCCAAGGGGCTCTTGAGGACATGGCCATGTGTCTTCCCTCAGAACTAGGGACACAGAGGAACAACAGAGCCCTCAGATAACTCAAGTTTTATGAGGAGATAGGTCACAAAGCAGAATCAATCACTCCTGTGCGACAGCCTCCCGTAGCTCCCCATTGCTTCCAGTAGAAAGTAAAAGCTCCTCATCAAGACCCACAAGCCAAGTGCCCCAGCTCGTCCCATGCTTTTGCCCCTCCTCTGGATTCCAGTCACACTGACCTTTTTGTCACTCCTCAAAAGTACCACTTTGTCAACTGTCTGCCTGAAATGCTCTTCTTTAGCTGCCCTCATGTTCTGTGGCCCCCAGATTTGTCTGTCATGCCATCTTTGCCTGCCTGATCCATACACATCACTCAGTCCCAGTTTGAATGTAATTTCCTAGGACAGTCTTCACAGACAAGGTTAGTCCCCTACTGTGCTCCCCCAGACTCTGTACTGTTCCCACACGTGATGGGTTGAATTGTTACCCCACAAAAAAAGATACATTGAGGTTCTAGCCTAATATCTCAGAATATGACCTCAGAATAGGGTCATCGCAAATGTGATTACTTGAGGTCACACTGGAGTAGAGTAGGTCCTTAATCCAAGATGACTGCTGTCCTTGTAAGAAGATGGCCTTGTGAAGACAGAGACACATAGGGAGGACACCTGTGTGAGGATGGAGGTAGAGATTGGAGTGATACAGCAACAAGCCAAGGGATGCCAAGGATTGCCAGCTGTCACCAGAAGCCAGGACAGAGCAATGGAACAGTGTCTCCCTCAGAGCTCTCAGAAGGAATCAATCTTGCCAACACCTTGATTTTGAACTTCTAGCCTCCAGAACTGCAAGAAAATAAATTTCTGTTGTTTAAGCCATCCAGTCTGTGGCACAGGTTACAGCTGCCCTGGGAAATGAATACACCGATGTTCCTAACTTATTCAGTGCCTGTCGTCCACATCCCACTCCCTGGCCATGAGCTGCCTGGAAACAGGAACCACATCATCTTCACCCTGAACTCCCAGTGCCTGGCACAGGTCTGGCACATTGTAGGGCTCTGTAAATATTTGTGGAATGAATGAACGGTGATCTAAAATAAACATGGAATCAATAGTATTTATAGCTGAATAGCAGAATTGTGAGTCATTTTTATTTTCTTCATGTGACATATTGTGTTTTCTAAAGTTATCACTTCAGAAACTGTATTAATTATGTATGTTATCATAAAGAACAAACTAAAACACATTTTTTTTCATAAAACATACATTAAAATAACAGACATTTCTACTACTGCGTGTTTTGTGAAGAAGGAAAAGTTTTGCTATATACTTGATAACTGCTTTTTTATTGATTAATTGATTTCTCCTCATGTTGCTAGAGTGCTTTCACGAGTCAGATTTAGAGTTTGAGCTCTGGGGTCTTGTGGGACATAGATTCCGGGCAGGAAGGGTCCATGCAGAATATGCATGCTTCTCAGCCATCTCTACCATCCACTGCTTGTGGGATCTGGGCAGATGTGGCACCTGTCACCTAACAGGGGCTGCTAGACTTCACCTAACAGGGGCTGCTAGACTTTGGCACTTGAGAACACCATCGGCCCAGGCAGAAGGTCACTCCCAAACAAAGCAAGCTCCTGCCCTCAATGAACACACTGTCCAGTGCTTCTCAAACTTAAATGTGCTCAAAAAATCACCTGGGGATGTTGTTGAAATGCAAATTCTGATTCCTTGGGTCCCAGATGGAGCCTGAGATTCTGCATTTCTAACAGACTCCCATGTTGCTGGTTCACGGACCACCTGAGGCACTGAAAGGTAGAGATAAAATATTCTGGTTGTTCTGCAGAAGGAGTGATGACCAGAGAAGGCGTCAAGGGAGAGTGCATTGCAGAGCATCTCAAAAGACAGGTGGGATTTGGAGAGGTAGAGTTGGCAGGAAAGTGGTGGGAATTCCCTGGGAAGATCCAGAGAGAAAACTTTATGTTCAGAGACAATGCCGTTGGAGTAGAAGGTAAACATGACTGTGAAGAGTGGGCTGGAAAAGGTAGGTTGGGAATAGCCAATGAAGGGCTCTGAATGCAGAACTAAGAGGTTTAGCTTTAATCTTGAAGGGAGCAAAATCTGACATAACTGAGATGTAATACATTATAGAGATCAATCTGACACTGAGCACAGAATCAGAAGAAAGCCTGACAGCAGGAGGAACAGTCAGGAAGCAGTAAGGGCTGCATTGCTTCAGATAGTGCAGGTGTAGAGGAAAGAATGGCCAGGAGTCATGGGAGGGTTTGGGGGGGGCGGGGAGCTGGCTAGAGTTAATAATGTGACAAGTTTGGAGAGAAAAAGAAAAAAAAAAAAAAAAACAGAATTCAAGGTGATTTATAGGAAGGGTGGGGGATGAGAGGTGACATCGGCTGAGCTAAAGGTCTAGAGAAAAAAAATGGCTTAAAGGGAATGATTCCCCGTTTTAGATATGATAAGTGTGTGATGATATTGCAACTCCCACATGGAGGTGTTGGGCAGGTAAGCAGACGCACTGGAGCTCAGAAGAGTATTGTGAGTGGGCAAGATTTGGGTATGTTCCCCAGAGGAAAAAGTGGGGTATGGAAAGGAAG